ACTGTGTAGAAAATTTCATCACGATCGGACTCTTCTTTCGAAAGTTATCGTGTAAACGGCCGGACGGCCGGACATACTGACCGATTCTAGAGTGTACTCACTTTTTGAGTACACAAGAACAACATAAATGAATCTATTAAGATTTAAATTTCTTTATTTTCTATACCATAATTCTGTGCTTGATCGAATTGTGTTTGTAGCAAAAAAATCAATCCATGGAAAATGTATATCATGTGTCTATTTAATAAAACAAAAAAAAAACTTTTTAATATATAGAACAAAAATTTCAATATAATTTTACATCAACAAAAACATTTTGTACAGCTATATTTAGTGAACATGAATGATTAAAATATCGTCCTATATTACCAATTAATTTAGCATCAAGTGTATAAACAACACCATCATAATCAGGTAATACTGTACGATTTAATGTTGAATTATTATCATTATCTTCAGATATTGTTTTTGATGATTTTTTTCCATCTTTTTTAATAATTCACGTGTACGTGATTGAAGATTAGCATTTAGAAAACGAGTACTAGCTATTTAGATAGAATTTTAAACAAAATAAAGTAATTTTATATTTAAAGTTTGCTTTAATAGAATTGTTTCTTCGTCATATGATCAACTTTGTGATTTTAGCTTAAATCATATGGAGAAAAAATCAAAGTTATTCAACATGGTTTTATTGCAATTATTATCACGTGCTTCTTTATCTTGTTGCATTGAGGTTATATCTGAATTTCACTACATTAGCTCTGCTTTGTCGTAGTGGTTTGATTGTCAACGAATCGGGAATGTGCGCTATATTTCGTGACCTCTCATAAAGAAAAGAACTTTATAAATTTACGAAGACGAATGTTCGTTTAGATGCTATTGTTTGACATAGTATATAGTTGTTAGATTATAGTCATTTCGAATCAAGTCTAAGATTGATGAGAATTTTTTTAGGGTCGTGTATTTCTGTTTCTTCACAGGATCATATTCGGGTTGTATAGTATTGCAAAGTATGTCGAAACATATGCTTTGTACGTATTCATATTTCAGCTTTTAGCTGTTACTGTTAACATGCTCGATTGAAGCAAACACTCATTTAATGGTCTGTATAATTCTGTTCAGACGGTGTCGAGTATTTCTGATATTACTCAAGCATTTGTTGAGGTAAATGGTGAATCATGGAACCACCCTAAGGTTCGAGTTCCAATATTTCTGGATATTGTTGACTTTTTGAGTATGATTACAGACCTTTTGTTTTTAGATTATTTA